CTGCTCCTTGGGAGCCTGCTTCTCCCTCTGCCTCTCTCTCTCTGTTTGTCATGAATAAATAAATAAAATCTTTAAAAAAAAAAAAACTCGGGGGACTTTGCACTTGGATACTATTTACGGCATGTCAATCACACCTCAATAGAATCACTTAAAAAGGGGGGTGAGGAAACCATCCTCCCCCACACTCCTGCCTAAGAATCAAACGAGGACCCCCATCGCAGGTACACAGCAGTGCCTGGCACAGCAGACACTCAGTAACGCTCGTGTCCCCTTGCTCTGGTAGCACTGCCCAGAGCCTTCCCGCCGTGCGACGGGCGCCCCCCGTGTGAGACCTCCCTGCAGGCCCCACTGGCAGGAGCTGGCCCGCCAAGGGTCTGGGGGCTGCCCACACGGGAACGGGCTCGTTTCTGCCTGAGGGGGCATTATCCAGCCTGAGGGGCCACACGCACGATGTGCTCTCAGCAGCGACAGCCGTCTGGCCCCTCTCTGCCGACCTTACGCCAGTGTCTCCGTGGGTTCTGTGAGCCTCAGAACTAGTCCAGGACAGAAATGGAGAGCGTCCACCTAACGTGGAGGGACACTGGCAACCGATAAACTGGGTGGTGGGTGTGGGGGCACAGGCACATTTTATCTTAATTTTTGAACACTGAACTGCTGCAATAAAAACCGCAGAACCAGTTGACAAGGAGCAGCCACACAGCCTGGGTGCCCTGTGGGTGTGGCCCAGCCTGGCCTCCGAGGGGTGGCCGGGGAGGCTGGAGGTGTGGGTCCTGGGGGCACCCAGGCTGAGGACAAGAGATCCCGGAGGCCCTGACAGGCAGAGGTGGAGGAGGAGCTCGATGTCTCAGGGGATACAGGCAGAGAGCTCAAGAACCCAAGGTTGGGGAGGCAGGTTTCCAGCCTTGGAGAAGAAGGACCTCTCCAGAAGTTCAGGCTGTGCAAACAGGAGCCAGTGAGCTCTCTTTCACTGGGGGTGTGCAACCTGCAGCTGCGGACAAGCTTAGAAGAGGCTGACCGAGAGGCCCTCAAAGACCCCTCCCCTTTGGTTTCTGGTCATGGGCTGGACACGCTGCGGGCACAGGGAGTCGGGGCACATCCCTCCTGCCTCTTGGGGGATTTCTGTCCTACTTTCCTTTGATTAACGGGCTCTGAGAGGAGGAGCCCTATAGGATGTGCTGAGCCTCGGATGACAGAAATGAAGCTTCATTAAGTCGTGGGGCTTGACTCTGACAAATCTGTGAAATCTTTTAAGAAAACATGCAGCCTGAACAACCAGCAGAAGCCAGGTCCAGGGGATCTCCAGATGCAGTCAAGCAAGGGCCTTGTGTGGGTTCTACATTCATGAACTAACAGAGATGGGCACACGGTGTGGCCACGCATTCCAGCGGACAGGCCCTCACCACTGGGAGGGTCTCTAACCCGGGGTGGGTCCATGCTCATCCCTGCACTCCACTGCTGAGGCATCGCTGGGACACGCCCAAGAACTGCATATAAGGGACAAAATTCCTGTGAGGGAGAAGGTGTTCCCCACGCTCAGGCCGAGCAAGCCTGCTGGCAGCTCAGCGTAGGGCCTGGCTCAAGGGAGGTAACCACAGGGACGGGCAGACGGACAGACAGGCCATCATGGAGCCTTGAACACCAGAGTTCAAAGCACCTGGGGCAGGCGGTACGGTCGGTATGACTTACAGTTTGTGTCTGCACTTGAGATTAAGGATATGAAGTCCTAAAGGTTTTCATCAACATTAGCACCTCTCTCTCGACAGCACAGGGCACATGCAGGCCCCCATGCCGAACACTGAGGACCAGGTGGGGCCACCGCTCCACTCGCACTTCAGCTGCAGAGCTGAGGAAGGGGAGGCGGCCCGGTCCCTGTCACTACGTGAGGGTCTTGCTGGGGTGTTTCTTAATCTGGGAAAGTTCAGGGAACAGAGGTTTCTCCAGCCGGACCTCCTGGAGGAGACTCTCCAGAGAGGCTGGGAGTTTCCAAAAACGAATTCATTTTGCCTTTTAAAACAAACAAATGGTAGATAAAAAACCTGTACGCCCAGACCAGGGGATCGAGTCAATGATGATAACATGGCCATTTCTGGCACCCTTTTAAAATTATGATGCAGATGCACCCGACGTGGAGTGGGCACCCCGCCTGTAGTCAAGCAGTGGGCTGGATTATACAAGAATTCTTTCCAGTTTCTTTCTTCTATTTTGGAAAGGTAAGCAGGCTTGTGGTGACTGTGTGTGGGAAGCCTGGAGAGGGGGCCTCCCAGGTGCAGGTTACCTGGGGAGATGAAGAAGGTCCTCCACAGCTTCTTGTCCCTCGTCACATCCCGGATCTCCTTCGTCATGTTGACCATCCTGCCGGCCACGGGGGGGACCCGGCGGAAGTCCAGGATCCTGGCGGGAAAGTGACAGGGAAAGGGTCTAACTTCTGTACCCTGGCCCGCTCCAGGCTGGCATGGAATGAATACCTCTCTCTCTGCGTTCTGAGGCGGGGTCCTCCACCCCCTGGATTCTGGGAACTGACCCCAGAGCCAGGCCTGTGACTGCCCCTGGAGGGCACAAAGCTCTGGGTGAGCAGGGGGGCTGCTGAGAGGCTCACCCACACGGTCACCCATTACCAACTGCCCAGCTCCCCAGCAGCAAGGGACCGTGCAGAGACCACAAAGGAATTCACATTCTGCCTGGCAGAGCTGTCCCAGAAGATGGGTGATGGGGGAGCAGGTGTGGAGACGTGTGTCCCTTAGTCTCACCATGGCCCCAGAGTTTACATCCTGAAACACTCTGCATTAAAATTCCCAGCCCTCATACTCCTTCCCTATCTTCTTTTCCGTTATTCCCAATGGGTCACGTCCACCCTGGTCACTAGCTGCTCTGGAGGATCTCCTGTCTGGCACCGTCCTAGGTGTGGGGCCCACAGCAGGGCATGTCTGTCTGGGTTATAACATAGCCAGGGCGAACATCACCTCTGTGCTGCAGAGGAATGGTTACCAGCATGGGCTGTGGGCTCACCATGCCTCAGTTTCCCCTCTTCTGTACAATGGGGCTAACGACAGGACCCCCTCGGCTGGGTGTTGGGGGGAGGGCTCACCCATACGGCACTCAGACCTAATGCAGACAGGAGGGCTCACCTGTCCAGGTGGAAGGCAGCGATCTCTGCGTTGTGCCTCTCATAGTCAGAGAAATAAAAGAAGTCAGGGGGTGTCTCCTGCTCCCTCGTTTGCCTAGAGAAAAGGGGATGAAACAAAGGGTTTATCACTGTCAAAACCCTCCGGTGAAAGGGTGCTGGTAGGTTGTACTGGCCAGCAAAAACAGGCTGTCAAACTTCCAAGACTGTTGTGAGCCAGTTGTTAAAGTCATCCTTGAAAATCAGCTTATATAAACATACAACTACGTAAGTTACATTTAAAAAGCAATAAACATTTAATTCTCATCACTTGCCGCTTATTTTATGGCATCCCACTGTTTGCTCCTGAGGCTGCTGACACCTCTTGCCTCTGCAGTGGCAAACAGCATATATCATGAGGTGATGCGTGTCCCCAACGCCACATGACCTCATGCTGAGAGCTTGAAATGGGCCAGTGAGGAAGTATTTGCACCACAGGATGGGCAAACTCTTCCAGTCAGGCTTTTCCCTCACAAAGGAGCTGGCTACTAAACACTGATCAGCCCACCACCAACCAGGTCCATAACACCAGCCAAACAGGTTTTCCAGAAGGGCGGATGGCAAAAGGCAGCCCCTTGACCGAGCCCAGGGAGTGTGGATGACGGAGGTGCCAGGGGCAGCAATCACCCTACACAGAACGAGATGACTTCCCTGGGGCATGAGCTGGGGACCAAGTTCAGGCTACACAACTGTCCCTCAGCCTGTTCTCAGCCATCTACCAGTCCACCTGCCCAGACAGGGTCCCCCTGCAAGATGCGAGAGAGTCTGGGAAGCTTTCTTGGGGCCACAGGTGGGACACACTTCTGAAGCCTACAGGAGGTGATCCATTTTCCAGTGTCCATTAGGGCATCCGCTGGTTAAGACTGCCTATACCCAATCCAGGACTACTGCCACCAGAGACCTCCTGGCCCCTCTTCTGCTCTGCCCTCCTCTCTCTCTCTCACCCCTGCTACCTCCACCAAACCTCTCCTAGACCCAGCACCCAGGACACTTCCACCTCTGCACCTTTGCTCATGTTATGCTCTCCACCTGTACTTGCTTCCTCCATCCTTCCCAAGATTGGCCTCAGCCCCCATGGGCTTTCCCTGGCAACCTGGCAAGCCTTCCTTGGCATTAGCCTTCTGCTGAGGAACTTGGTACTGCTACATTAGACCACTGTTTGCAGGGCCTGGGGGCAGGAGTGTCAAGCCAGGTGCCTGCTTTAGAACAGGTGTTCAATAAACAAATGAACTGATGGAGGAAGGGCAGGGAATGGGTGCAAATTGGTCCACAGCCTTGAGCTCTTCCCACCCTCATTTCCTCAATTTCTACCATCATCACCATCATCACCATCACCTCTATCACCATCACCACCATCATCATCGTCATCACCATCACCACCATCACCACCTCCATCACCATCATCATCATCACCATCATCACCATCACCACCTCCATCACCACCATCACCATCATCACCCTCATCACCATCATCATCATCACCATCACCACCATCATCATCATCATCA